AATTTTATAATACTTTTAACACTGTATCTTCTGAAACCCACACTTCTATCCATACCTTTCTATCTGGGTGTCTAAAAATTCCATGAGAATTGTCCTGAGAGGAAAATTATTAGCTGTTCTCTTCAAAGATCTATCAACTAACTCCTGGATTATTGAAAAACAACTTCTGTTATTACTCTTGGGCACTGATAATACATTTCCTTAATGATTTATCACAACCAAGAAGTGTCTTATTTAACAAACGATAAGTTTTTTTTCTCCCTAAAATGCACATTTAAAATGTTGGTCTATTCAGTCATAGGCTCTTACGACAAAGGGGACCTTCAGAAGCATCCAATCATTCACTTTCACTTCACAAATGAGGAAGGCGAAGGTCAGAAAGTCTTTTGAACTCCTCGTTAACCTTCTTTTCTACTTACCATATTGTCAGAAAGTGGAGTTCATGTTTGCAGAATGTCAAGAATCGAGGTAGTCCTCATCATAAATAATTTGTAACTGCAGCATTATTATTGTGCAAAAAAATCGTTGAATGCATCAAAATTCTCTAATAAAAAATGAGACATTGTTTGCACCCACACATGTGTTTGTATTCTGAAAACCTTTCTTTGATTACTGTGTAAATGGTAAATAGAAATCCATAGAGTTTCAGGCCTAATTCTACATCTGCTAATTGGATTTCTCTTTATGGATTTAGTAAGCCAATATTCATGTTCCAAAGTAAACAGCTCTCTGAATGCATGTGTATGACAAAGCTGATTTTTCTTTTAATTGGGGGAATCAATGACTACATCAGAGGTAGGCCAAGTTGACTTTGCAAAAGTAATCTAGGTTATAATGAAAGGACTTTATACCGATTTTGGTAGCAGTCTTAGAACTAATGGAAAGAAAAGAGAAATTTGGAACCCTAAAGGTCTTCCAAGGGCCAAAATTCATCTTTTTTTGTGACAGGAATACCCACATTATTCTGAACCATTCTGTTTTACATCTACTGCCTAGCTGACAAGTGTCCGTTTTTCATGCTTATTCATTCATCACCGGTGTGTTGTCTCTGCCTGCAAGGCATCTGGCCTGCCTTCTATCACATCTCTCCATGATAAAGGATATGCTTAAAATGGTACCCCCACCCCACCCTGCTTGCTCGTACTGTGGAGACACTGAAGTGAGCAGCTGCTGCGTGGACAGCCGCAATATTTTCTCAGCTCATTATAATACCTGAAGGCTAGAAAACAGGTTTTATGGCAGGAATTAAAAGAATTTTTTAGGAAGAAGTATTGCTTTGTGGAGGGTTAAATGTGAGATCATTTTAGAAATTAGATGAAATTTATAGAGAGTTTGGAATCAAACCATCAAAACAAAATAAGTATATGGTATCCCATGTGAGTTCAGTTACACCTGTCTCTCGAAGTACATACATCTATGTGTGGTCATCGTTCTCAATCAGGAAGCAAGAATCCTCATAAGACCTACCTTGATGGGGCAGGAATATGAAAACTCTGTCCCAAATTACACCATATTCTAAGAAGAATTATAACAATCCTCATTCAAGCCCATCACCCATGAATGGTGCTGCTGACTTTTGTCTCCATAAAATTTTGCAGAAGAGCAATAGCTTCTCATGATGGTTATTTTCCCAGTTCCTGTGCACCCCTCAACCCAGCTTAGCTTCTATTCCCAGTCACTCCTAAATTTCCCCAAACGGTGACTTCTCCCCTTTGGTTCTTGGGCTGCATTTGTCCCATTGGCCTCCCAACATCTTTAAACTTTATTCTTCTCTAGGCTCCTGTGACATCTGTCCTTACTTTTTTCACTACTTCATGGTTCACACCATGTCATTTTTGCTGGTAGCTTTTTCTTTTGAATGCTGGTGTCCTGGTTTTTCTATGCTTCAGTCTTTCCCCTGGTGATGTCATCTATTTCCAGTTCTTCAGCTGTCTCCTGGACAACAAAGCTCAGATCTCCTACCCAGACTTCTTTCTGCAGCTCTAGACCCATTGATTCTAAAGTTGGGGCTTCTTTTCTCTCAGGAGACATTTGGAATTGTCTGGAGCGATTTATTTTGTCACAGCGGGGAGAGGTGTTACTGGCTTCTAGTGGGTAGATTCCAGGGATGCTGCTAAGCATTTTACTATGCACAGAGAGTTATCTAGTCCCAACTCTCAATAGTGCTGAGGCTAAGAAATTAAGATCTGAAACTATTGGACTTTTCCATTTACATATCCTACAGACTCACCAAACTTAATATGGAACAAAAGTAATTTGCTCTTTCTCCTCGTTTTTCCTGCTTAATTCATTACTAGTATTTCATTTAATGATGGTATCAACTTAACAGTTGTAATAGCTAAAAGTATAGTTTTATCTCTGCCCCCTGGCACTTTCCAAACACCTAGGACTTCCTCAATGTGTGATCTATTTATTTCTAGAATTTGCTTTCTCCTCTTTCTGTACACTATTACAGAACCCAATTATCCCTTGTGGTCTATTCAAATGGTTCCCAAACTACCTTCTCTCTCAATCCACCTGTCATACTGAGGGCAATATGACATCTGATCTCCCTGATCTGCTTAGAAGACTTTGAGGGTTTGCCATTCATGAGCATGGCAGAAAGGGTTTTCAATCTTTCGTTTTTTTGGTACATGCCCCTAGCGGGAACCAAACCCGGGACTCTCTGGTCTGCAGGCCGACACTCCAACCGCTGAGCCAAACCAGCCAGGACACAGAAAGGTTTTCATACAGACACCTCAACTTACTTTCTCACCTTGATGCTGTATCTTTCACATCTTCATCCTAAGCACCTAGCAAAGTGTCCACCTTAAGTAGATAATTAACAAATATTAAAGGAATTTGTTTTGACTATTTGGATACATATGTGCCTCATTTTTTCTTATTTTCAGCCTTCACTTTGTGATATCCTGATGAAATTTACCAGGAGTGAGTCAAAATGTTATTTGACATGAGAACTAATTCCAGTCACTATGTCTTCACCCATACCCCACATCAGATAGGTGTTTTCAGAATTATTTTTCAAAAACTTTGTCAGGAACATTTTAGCCCACAAAATGTATGCATTGTTTCTCTTCCTTTTATTAGTATTTTGTGTTTTACCAAAATATGTATCTTAATGCGAATTGAAAACAGAGGAGCTACCATATCAGAAGAGAAAGAGTAGGAAAGTTTTTAATGTTTCTGTTGGAAGGACACGGCTCATTTAAAAATTATTATAGATGGACACAGAAATGTTAGAAACTAGCTCTTCACTTTAAATACCAAAATGGTAACCAAAAGAGATGTGAAAGGACTGTGTGGGATGGCAAAATAGGTATCAAGTCAGGAGTCCTCCGATTCTAACACAACATCCATTATTTTGCTGGGAGGCTTTGAATAATTTGATAACCATGTTCATTATTTGTAAATTAAGGACATGATTTAGATAACTTTCAAGTTTAATAGCTGTGGATCTTACATGTTCACTTCTACAATATTCTCAATTTCCTGATCATCCAATGAGAAGAGCCCTTCTGACAGAAATTCGGTCACCTTTGGGAGTCTCTGGACTTACCTGAGACCCACAGAGAGTCATCGTTTTCTCACAATCCCAACGCTCTTGGAGCTTTTCTTTTGCCAAGAAATTCAACACAATGACAAGTATGTAACAATGGATTTTTTTCTTAGTGCATTTTTCCAGGTGGTGCTTGCTGACAGCTCCCTGAAAGACAGTGGAGGTATAGACTTCCAGAGCTTTAAGGTTTTTATTCATTAGTTCAATAGGCTAAAATGGTGCTCTTAGGTTCTTAAGTTTTTATCAGGGACAGGAGTTAAAAGGACAGATATATTAAATTTTTATTAAAATCAAGTGGATAAAATTATAATAACTTTTCATTGAGAGGAGCTGAATTGTACAAGTATAAAATAAATTTTTGGTGTGCTGCTTCAAAGCTCTATGGCTGAATCATTTATTTTTAAACTTTGGTATTTAAAGCGACAAGCTAGTTTCTAACATTGCTCTGTCCGTCTATAATAATTTTTAAATGTCTCCATATTGCTATGGCAACTATAACTATATAAATACGTAATTAGGTACTTGGTATATTTGGGCAGAAATGACTATTTAATTTTCTAATTGAAGAATGGCCACATAATTATATAGTGAGCGATTTCTGGACTCATTCCAACAGTTGCTCTTTCCCCACCTTGTGGTTGAGACACCTCAAGAGGTTATATTCATTCTTGTAGGACTCCAGCATCCTGTTTATTACTATAAACTGGAAACTTGCTTTTGAGTTATTGATCAAAATATCTCAGAGTTAAAAATAATGCTAACAGTATTCATTGTGAAGAGAGAGGAAAACATTTCTGTAGATAGAGATTGTGTGTGTATAAAAATCATGATGATGGGGTTCTTTTGATTAAAACTGTGATCATCACCCTGGTCAGCATGGCCCAGTGATAAGAGCGTCAGCCTGCTCACCAAAGGATCATGAGTTCGATTCTTCATCAAGGGCACATACCTGGGTTGCAGGTTCAATCCCCAGTCCCGGTCAGGGCACTTGTAGAAGGCAACCAATAGATGTGTCTCTTTCACATCCATGATTTTCTCTCTCTCAACCCTCTCTCTTTCTGCCCCCCTCCTTCCTTCTACTCTCTCTAAAAACTAATGGAAACACATCCTCAGGTGAGGATTAACAAAATAAATAAAAAAGTGTAATCATCGTCATTGATTATCAAGAATTAATAAGGAATGAATTTCACTGATTGTTAATATGAGGGTCTTCAAAGCATTCCAGTGAATATTAAAGTTGCACAGTTAATAGCCTCTGAATTTCATTAATTTCCACCACATGGAATATAATCATCCAGGTGGTGGTATAGTACTAACAACATGTGGTTTAAAAAATATTCAAAGACATATAAAAGGCTAAAGTGGAAAATTTTTTATTGCACTTCCTATAGATGAATAAATGTAAATTAGTTTAGTCATGTATTTCATTATGTGTGCTTTCCAGATCTCCGGAAGACATTTGAGCAGGAGCCCCTGGGAAAGGAAGTGTCCTTGGAACAGGAAGTCTTGCTCCAGTGTCGACCACCTGAAGGGATCCCCGTGGCTGAGGTGAGTAGCAAAAATTCTTTGCATTTAGCAACTGGCACTTAGTTATTCTAACAGAGGCCGAATCCCTGGCTAATGGCGCCGTGAATTAGGGGATGGCATGATGAATGGTTGGTAATGGAGTCCTAACGGCCTGCTGCTGGCAAAATAGATTGATTGGGAACTGATTAATGACTTGGGAGTCAATTAGAATGCCCCACTGGACAAAGCCACAGTCAGCTTGGTTTGATTTTTGTCATTCTCTTTCAAGAACTCAGAAATACTGCTTTATTTTATTTGGAGTTATTTATTTCATAGAGAGAGATGGTGTTACTTAAAAATGTACCATCAATTTTATCACTGTTCTTGATAATATGCAAAAAAGTGTGTGCGTGTATGCGTGTGTGTATGTGAGCCTGTGCACTCTACGTATGTATTTCCCGTTCCATGATGTAATCAGGGACATATACCTAAGAGCCATGTTCACACACCAGACACAAAAACATGTTTGAGGAATAACAAGTGTCAATTAATTTCAACCTATAAGCTTTCCATCAGACGCTTCATTTTCGTTTTCTGTTTTTACTAAAACAAAGCCTATTGATCGCTAATGAAATATTATGACTCATATATGCCATAACTTTTCATTAGCACCATACAATACAGTGTTCTTTGAAAATGCTGTCTATGGGGGATCGGCCTACAGGGTGCCATGCTCTCCTTGAGACACTCCCATCCGCTTAGAGCATACCAACGAGGAATCATCTAACACTGTGCCTTTTGTTTCTTAATAAATAATTTCAGACTCTGAAAAATATTACCCTTTTATGGTTATTGGGAGCCATGCTCATATGCATGAAACACTAGTGCCCTAGCTGATCCAGTATCCTGGAAGCCCAGAAAAACTTTAATTTGACAAATGACATAGCTGTCAATTTGTTGGTGGATTTTGTTAGCCTCCAAACTACATTGAATTCTTTGGAATTTTTACTCTTTATTGCATATATGGAAAGAGGCATTTTTGAAATTGTTGCAATTTGGGCCTATATATGGGTCAGCTGATATTTTGTAAAAATAAGCCCTCAATTATCCCTCTCTGCAAAATAATACTACTTAGACTTATAACCTGTCCAAAGAAAGTTTAATAGCTAACAATGCACTTACAATTAGGTTTCCATAGTTTTTCAATCTTTTGAAGGTTCAAGCAGAGGTGGGAATCAGCTGAGTTAGCTGGTATCATGACAACAAAATTAAACATATGATGGGTCTTTTCAGATCAATAATAATAAATGAGTTCAAAATTTAGGCAGTGCCATTGCAAAATAACTCCATTTTTCTGTCACAGCCATTCATATTTTCATGTGTCAGTGAAAAGACACAAAGTGACAATCTTAATAAAATTTCATTTTTTACTTTGAAAAAAGAGTTATTTTTGCCTTGTAATCGGCATCCATGACACTTTCTAGCATTGATTGCAGCAGATTTTTGCATTGGTATAGCTGCTTTTTCCAACCCCCCTAAATGATCTTCCTTCACTGACATACAAAGTGACTTACTGTGATTAGAAAGAAGGCAACTCTTGTCTTTTTAATTTTTCATTTTCCTTATTACAACAGTGTATATGTCTCCTAGTTGTATTTGTAAAATCTAATGCAAGCCCCTTCATGTAATAAACTATTTTAAAGACCAAAACATATCCTGGGTAACACGGGCGTCTTAGCCTTCTTTTTACTCAGTGTTTCTTGAAGATGACTGATCACCACAGAGACTTTCAGTGAAAGATCTTGGTAACTTCTTCATTTTTTGAGTGGTTCATTTTTCCAAGGAGTAAAAGATTCATGAGTTCAAACTAAATGGCTGTGATTTTGTGTGTGTGTGTGTGTTATCACTGGGGAGGAGACCAATTAACACTTAGCAAGCTCAAAAATCAAGTACTCATTGACATTCAAAGAACTATATTTAATGTTTTTTCTTTTCTTTTCTTTCCTTCTTTTTTTTTTTTAAGTCAGAGGAGAGCTCAAACACACATGCTGGAGAGCAGGCTAGTAAACTCCTATATAGATTCTTTTCAATACCCTTAGAATCACCAAGACCAGAAAGCTAATGAATACCTTAATGTGACACATTACAACTATCATTCACTTAAGAGTGGCAGATAAACAATAAAAGAGAGGGATGACATGTAACTTGGTGTGTTAAATGATCATAAGATTATTTTAATTTAATGATAGATGCATTTATTATTTAATATTCTATTTGTTTGAGAAATCTCAAAGCATAAAAATAGCACAGACTGAAATAATGATCTTAAAGGAAAACCAGCAGATAGAATTTGTATGTTTTACCATAAATGAAATCTGGCTTTAAGCTATCAGGTTGCAGGGGGCAAGGATTTCTGCTTCTTTTGTACCTAAGGTGAATGATTCTATAGAACTGGGATAGTAAATGCTCAAGGAACATATAAATGATCCGGTCAATCAAGCTTTGGTTTATAAGTCTAGCTCCATTGGAGAAGTAGTCAGACACATTCTTTGCAGAATACCAGAAAGCAGTAATTTTCTTTCTTTCCATATAAGTTGGTAAGTTTCTAAAGAACTCTATTAATCTTAACTTAAATGGCACTTATTTGATACAAATAATGTTATAGGCATTTCTGAGGTAATAAACTACATTTAATTTTCTCCCATCTTTTGGCTTTAGTCTCTGATACAGAATGTTAAACTGATTTCCTTACAGATCTCTAAGTTTAAACTCAAAGGTAACCATTTTGAACTGTGACTTAGAGCAAGGTATCTGAATTCTCTGAACCTATGTTTCCTCAGTTACAAAGTGAGGACAATGATAATATCTATTCAGAACATAGTCGTGATGTGTAAATGAGATAACACATGCCAACATGTAGAAAGCACTCAAGAATCATCAGCCATTATTAGTACTAGTATTCTGTTATCACCTGTTGATTCACAGAACACTGAATTCATCCTCTTGAATTCCAAACAGTTGCTGAGCTCATTGTACCTCTACTGGGCACTGTGAGGCAAGAAGGGTGAAGCCCCTGTCCTAGAAAGAATCACCAAGATGCCCTCCTGTGTCCTCCAGCCAGTTGTTTTGGTTAGGGTCCATAGCTGCTACAAACAAAGATATTGGGAGCGTTAAAACAAGGAAACACCCTTGTGTCTATAAATATCTAATGTATGAATGACAAATATCAACAACAAGTCATGATGTGCTGTTGTACTTACTCTAATTTTTAAAGTTACTGTTCTCCATTTAGTCATCATGATCCCCAAATATTGACCCAACGCATATCTTCTCCCAAGGAGGAAATCTGGGCTGGGGGTACTGTGGGTAGTTCTTTTCAGAGCGAAGGAAAGGGAGTGACAAGCCACAGAGGAGGAAGGAGGCCCAGCCAGGAGTCTTGTGCTCCATCTCTCCAGGTAGTGGCGGTTTTGACTAAGAACTCCTCAACGTTCATCTGTTAAAACCTGTGTTGTGGGCACCCTGGGATGAGGCACAGTGGTTCAGAGCTCTCGGCTGATGCTTCCTCCTCGCATCTCCTTACCAAGCCCTTTTTTTATATCTTTTTTTTTTTTTTAATCCTCACCTGAGGACATCTTTACATTTATCTTCAGATGGAGTGGAAGGGAGAGAGAAACATCCATGTGAACAAGACACATCGAATGGTTGCCACCCACATAACCCCAACCTGGCCAGGAGACAAACTGCAAGGGAGGTATATGCCCTTAGCAGGAACCCAACCCAAGTCTCTCTGGTCCCCCTGTAGACACTCTAACCACTGAGCCATACTGGCCAGGGCTATATCTGTTTTCTTTATTTAAAGTATTTAACAATCACTTGGCTTTCGTGGCCCGGGACAGATTCTGAGGGCCTCGTGCTGTTTAACAGGTATAATCCCTTTAGCTGCTGAACTATAGGGAGCACAGGGACCCAGGGCGACAGCTGGCACTAGGTGTGAGGGGCGCTCAGTTATTCAGCGGCAGAAACAGAACAGTCGTCTTCTACCCGGTGCAGACGAGCCAGTGTGCCGGGCTGAATGTCAGCCACTATCTACCGTGACTGTATGTAACCCTGACTCCTACTTGTACTCAAATGTGTCTGTTTACTCCTCTGCTGTCTAATTAGGTTGCAATAAAATAGGAGCAAAGGGGGGTTTTTATGTTTATGTCTAACAGCAGCGACTGTAGGTTCCTTAGCAGATTCTCTTTAGTGTATTTAACTAAATGAAATAAAGAGTCCCTGATGGATGTGTCACAGAGGCTGAAACTCAGAAAACGGAACATTCCAGGAAAAGGATATTTGTCACCTCTGAGGATGCAACCCTTTGGCGAGAACTCAATGTGGGGTGAAGGTTTATGGGAGGAACTCAATGTGGGACGAAGGTTCCAACCCACTAGGACTGAGACCAAAAGGCCATTGAGAGTCACTTAAGTTCGAGAACTAAAGGACAGGTGAATAATCGTCATATTGAAATTAAAAGTCTAGACTGGTTGGAAGAAAGAAGAATTCCTACAAATACTCTGAAATGCTATTGCTTAGAGTTTTTGAGAACACGTTTGCTAGGCTCTAGGCAAAAATATAATTCTTTTCTTTTATGTCTGGGGAGGCACTGGCCTTCCTTCAGCAGAACCTCCCCATCCCCCCACAGCGGCCGGGAAATTGAGGAGCCCATGCACAGCGCCGGGTGCTCCGCCGCACAATAGCACGCTCTGCAAAATGAATCCCTCTTTGCCCATTGTAGTTTATGCCTAGAAAATGTTACTGTCACATGGTGAGCCAGAAATACACTCAGCGATGCTTTATTCCACTGGATTATCTCTTTTGGATCGAAACAGCAATGGATACACAAGATTGTTGGCATGGCAGAAGGAACGACACTGAATTTTTCACTAAAACCCGTGATTTGTTTCACCTTTAACAAGGGGATAATTGCTCCTCTAATTGTAATTGAGCTGTTTCTCATAGGAGTGTAATTGGAGGAACAGGGCACAATATTCAACTTATTG